TACAGTGTGTGTATGTGCATGAGAGAGTCACAGAGAAACATCGGTTCTGTTAAATTTTCTTTCCCCTGATTTTCAGATGAAATCCTGAAATATAACCAAAATATTTCATTTTGGTTAAAATGTTTATTTCTGGTTCATATTCCAACACTTGGGAGGTTTGTTGATGTGTTGATTGACGACCTGTTTCCAGCGAACTCGTCGCTGCAGAACATGCAGAGACGCTGGAAGCTGCTGTCGTCTCTCTCCTGCTGCTGCTGCTCCAGCACCTCCTCCTGCCAAGGAAAACCACGAGGTTAGAGAAAACACCACAGAGGAAGAAGAACTCCTCTAAAACCAAACAGGGAGCACAGGGAATGTGGGTTTAACCACAGAAATCAGAAACAAGCTTCCGTGTGACGCTGAGACGAGGTCCATGTTGGACTCACCAGTCGTTTCTGTTGGAGCTTCTCTCGGAGGAGTCGATCTTCTGGAAGAACGTCACACAGCAGGAAGTAGTTCTCTTGTTTCTCTGTAAGAACAAATTGGTATCAGAGTCGTGTGATCTGTGCACAGCGGTGGACGGGATCCGCCCGCGTGTGTGCAAATGGTTAAACTTGACTTTAGAAGCAGCTCGTTGAAATTCAACAAATTGGAAAACTCACCAACTGGACCGGTGGAGTTTGTTTTGATGACGCTGCAGAAATCTGTGATCGGCTGCTCCAGGAATCTGCCTTTCCAGTACAACAAGTACCTGAAAGAGCAGAGGAGCACGAGTCAGTATCAGCACGATGAAGCGAGAGGTCTCAGAAACTCCTACAAGAGGAACCTCACGTTTCCACCTCTGTCTTCCTAAAGTCTTTTGAGACTGGAGAGTGAGACTCAGTGAGTAAAACATGTGTGACGTTGTCTTAAAGAATTGGAGCCTTTTATAAACAGGTTTCGTGTTGACAGACACAGATCCTGTCTAAAGATTTTATTTATTTTGGTTCGCAGCGCTCTTACTTCGGCAGGTCCGCGATGAGTTTGACGTCACTAATGACCATCTTGTGCTCCAGCAGCAGGTGTTTGAGGAGGACGTCCTTCTGCGGCAGGGGGGTGGACTCGGAGCAGAACAGACACAGCAGCGGCTCTGGGTTAGGTCGCTGCAGGGCGTCGACGTGCTGCTCTGGAAAACACAGCGGCTCCAGAATACTGTCCTGACCTGAGGGAGGAAGACAACTCAGGTTACATCAGAAAAAAAATTAATCACAAGATAATGTTTCAGATGACGTTTGTACAAACTGTATTTGTTCACCAGTTACTTTCTTCATTCCATTTATCTATAAAACTGAGTACGGTTTATAATTCTTTTAAAGCCTCTGTTCCTTTTCTGTCAGGAACAAACATCTTCTCCTCTGAATCTCTGAAGTCATGTGTCACGTTTCATGTTTGATTATCTGATCTTTACCAACTCTGATTAGAACTTGTTTAAAAAGGTGCAATGGAAATAAAGTTAATAACTATTATTATAATAATAAAAAGAAAAGCTCTGCTCATTCCTGCTGGTCACTTAGAGCACAGGGCCTGAGACAGAAACATTAGGAACCACGATAATGAAACAGAATTAGTATGAAACACTCATCAGACCGAGGAACCGACGTCACCTCGTTAAAAAGAAGAAACTCGTGTTGTTCAGGCGCGTGAGTGGTTTCTAAACTCTGACGTGTTGAGTCAATGAAGCAGCTGTTCCGTGTTCAAATCTGTTAAACTGTTCAAATCTGTGAAACACATGTTAGCTGCTAGTTAGCTGCTAGTTAGCATCTAGCTTAGCAGGCAGCAGCTGACATGTGTCTGTTCCCGCGGTTTCCCGGAGAAGTGACGCTTCGATGTGACGCAGATGTTTTAATGAGAAATGAAAATCCGCTCTGATCTTTAAACTTCTTCATTAAACTTCTTCTTTAAACTTAAATTCACTGAATCTTCAAAACTTCAACTCACCATCCCCCCTCCTGTCGCTGGCGGCCATCTTTGTGTCACGTGATCAAAACAGCAGCTAACGAGCCAATCAGAGGCCTGGAAAGTGACTGTGCTGCTTTCAGAGTCTCCCCGTAAAACGCAACATGCGCCGTGGTGCGTTCAAAAACCAACCGGAGCGCATCACTCATTACCTCCACTAAAAGACCACTAGGTGGCGCGGTCCGCTCAGGCCTCCCTCTCCCTCACAGAGGTTCCTCTACACTTCTAGTTTTTCTTTCACTTGTTTCACTACAATGTCAAACAGCGTCTTTTATTTTACCACAATGAAAAGAAATGAGAAATAAAACATGTTTAATAAAATGATAGGAATTCAACTGTCAACTAAAACAGCAACAATAATAGAAATAGATAGATTGATACACACGGATGCAATAAAATACATTAGTACTTCTATTAAAGCTTCATTCTACTTATACTCAACATTTACGTTTCAGACAAATACATTTACTCAATTACAATTTTAATACTGGCAGCTATAACTTTGAATACTAACACTGAAACTAGATACGTTAGATGAAGCTCAAGAAGAATGAAATGGATAAAGTAACAAAAGAAGAACAGAGTTTTACATGTTTATCAGAGATGATCCAGTTCACTCTGTTTGTGTTTGGATTCAAATGACACAAAAACCTTTAAATCCACTGAAGTTCTCCTCCTCCTCCTCCTCCTCCTCCTCCTCCTCCTCCTCCTCCTCCCTCTCTCTCTCCCTGTGGAGGTGGTGCTCTCTCGGCCTCCCCCTGCGGTGGTTGGGTTCTGCTCCAGCAGCCTGTTCAGGTGTGTTCAGGTGCTGCATTATTCACACGGAGCTCAGCAGCTCTAATTAAACCCTGGAGAGATGCGAGTGGAAGGCAGCCGCAGACAGACACCGCTGCCAACTTATGATGTGGATTCCTGATTTGGTCCAAAACTCCCACATGAGCCACATCATGTCTCAGAGAAATGTTTTCCTCTCCAGCACCAACCCACATAAACAGAGCTGCGTGTTGCACACACACCTGAGCATGTTCCTCACATCAAACTGCAGCCAACACGAAAACCAACGAGCCGGGCCGCTCTCTGAATCTACAGCTGCATCTCAGTGGGTCCTGTTTCATCTGGAGGTTCAAATCCTCTGACAGGCTGATTTACTTCAATAACTCAAAAAGATCCCAGTTTCAAGTACAACGAAGAGAAATATCATAATTCATGTGAATTAAATAGTGATATCTGATGCGGATGTCAGGATGTTCAGATGTTCCCAACAACTTCAAATACAATGGATCTGACATTTCCCATCATGCATTTGGAAAGAAGTTCTGTTAAAAGGCCTGAAAAGTGAAAGAACTCTCAGCTGGAATGTCTAAACCATAGATTTATATTATTTTATTAATCTATTTGAATGAATGTATTGTTTTATTTGTTATATTGTGTCTTTGTTATTTTAAACCTTTCTTTAATTTCACATTCTTTGTTTGAAGATCTTTTATTCAGTCTTTGGACCAAAGCCACAAAATATGTCCACAGAAACACTGATGTGACCAAAAGTTGTTTTATTTCCTGAAAATATTAGAAAAATTACAAAAACTGTGAAGAAGATTTGACCAGTTCAGCTGAACTTTTCTGTTTTATAGCAGAAAAATGAAAACGTCATTCCTCATGAACCAAAGTGTAAAACTATGATTGAGTCTTTTGTTTCACAGGAGAATCGAGTGTCAGCTGCTGAGCGGAGACAGACTCCATGGTAATCTGCTTGTCTCTTTTTTACAGATTTCACTTTGTGATTTTCACTTTCTGCCTCTGTTGCTGTCTGAAGTCCAGTCTGTTCAGTCACACACTTCAGATTAGTGTCAGTCCGGCTGGTTCGCAGCAGCTGCTCTGTAGTTTCCTGATCTTCTTTTGATATCTCCTGTACTTTGCTGTGACCCACTTCCCTCCATTAAGCTTTCAAATAATCAGATCCACTGACAGCGCTCCCGTCAGGACGCTGCAGAAACTCCAGCTTTTCAAAACAACATGTTCAGACTACCTCCTCCTCCGCTCTGACTGCTGCTCTCCTCTCAGGCTCAACCTGGATGCTGCTGCCGACGAACTGTTGCATAGCAACGGTGCGCTCAGCACCTGCAGTGCTTCTCTTGTTCGGAGCTGGACAACCTCAAAAGACATCATTATGTGGGCAGAGTCGCCCACATGGGTCAATGTCAGCCAACAGCCAAGAGGGCTCTTGTTCTTCTGCTCTCTCTCTCTGTCCGTCTCTTGTTCAGTTGTGTTGGTGATGTGGACACACACACAACAGTCCTTCTGTCTTTGTGAGGACATGATACATTCCCCAGCACCCCCCAAAGTGAGGACCAACATGTCGTCACTGCCAGTCTTCATCTCACAGTGGTCCTCACTAACACAGATGTATCATGAACAAACTCACCCTACAGCTGTGAAGCAGCGGCTGCACAGACACGGAGAATAACAAAGACAAAGGACAAAATGTCCTGAAGCCGCAGAGTCGATTGATCCCCACAGACGAATTTACATGATTATTCTGCTCATGACTGGAGGAACAGTCGTCCATCAGATGTCTCTGGATTTCAACTCATATTTATCTTCATGTGATAAAATATATTAATTGTTCAGCTACTTACTGAAAGAGCCACCAGGACACACACACACACACACACACACACACACACAACACGCAGAGTCAAAAACAACCACAATAATACACGTCATCCTCAACAGCTTCAGAACTTCTGTGAGACAGTAACAATGAGCCCGGACATGAAAAACATCCACAAACACAAACGAGGTGTTGAAGATCAGATTCACACAGGAAACGAAAAGTGGATTAGAAGAGCTGCACTTTGTCGACCCATCCTGTCATAATTAATATGACCACTAGAAGGCGCCTAACAATCTAACGTAATAATAGTTCACATCTGGGGGGACGTGGGACCAATGTTTGAGGATTCAACAGTAGAATCCTGACGTCTTATCATAAAAGAGCGACGCCTCCTTTGAAACTCGGATTGGTTCGATTTCTCGTTTCTAACTGTACTTTTCCTTCATCTCTAACTCTGCCGCTCGTCTCCTCTCAGGCAGGAAGTGTTTCTGACAAAGCTTTTCTTCTGTTAATAAAGAATAATCGGTTCCAGAGACGCTGTGTCGTTCTGCTGAGTAAAAAAACTCTCTGGTTGAATAAGAATCTCCACAGAAACCTGGAGGCAGGATGGCAGTCACAACAGGTTAGTTCATGTCGTGACTCATTTCAGTCGTTCTGTTTCTGTTCAGTGTCTTTTAAAAAGTCTTGTTTCTGTTTTGACTTTTTCTAACAAACTGAATCCTCTGGTCTGAGGCTGCAGTTCCTTTAATGACCACCAGTCCAATAGCACCTTTAAGTTCTGACTCTGAATGTTCATGAATAAATTTCTATTCGAACTTTAAATACAATGATGTTGTAACATCTCTGATAAATAATGGAGGCTATATATTTCATGAAGCTTGTCAAATCAATGACCACATGACATGTTGTGTCACTAATAAGGATCTTACAGACCATAATCCTCTGTGCTGTAAGAATGACTTATTAATCAACATTTAATTGGCTGTTAACTATGAACCACAAAACACGCCATAATTATAAATTAATAAATAAATACAGACATAAATGTTAAAGTATATACAGTTGGAGATGGAAAGACTAGTTCTACATGTATTGATTTATTTAATTTTTTTCTACATTTATTTAATTCTCCTTGAAGAACGACGGATCACGAACAGATCCTCATCGACAAGCATAGCAACAAGACACATTATTTTAAATATACATTCATTCATTTATAGAAACGCTGTGAGTGTTGGTGTTTATCTCCTCCACTCAGATCTGGACTCAGATCTGGACTCTGATCTGGACTCAGATGTGGACTCTGATCTGGACTCAGATGTGAACTCTGATCTGGACTCAGATCTGGACTCTGATCTGGACTCAGAGCTGGACTCAGATGTGGACTCTGATCTGGACTCAGAGCTGGACTCAGATGTGGACTTAGATCTGGACTCTGATCTGGACTCAGATCTGGACTCAGATGTGGACTCAGATCTGGACTCAGAGCTGTGTGATGAGCTGCCGGACGCCTGCAGACACTGTTCTGATCTGTCACTGAGAGCTCACACGTTCAGCGTTCACATCGTTCACAGCTGAACGTGTCCATTAACAGCTCTGTGTCCTTGAAGCTGTGGCTCCATGACTGAATGTGAGTATAAAGACTTCAGTGTGAAATTAGAAGATAACTAGAATGTCCTCGAGCGATTGTTGAACACTGCGTCCGTCTGTGTCTCGTTACTTTATGACTTCACATCTATAAAAACCAGCTGATATGAATCTTTCACAGATTTATTAGTGATTATGTTTTGTGACAGAAGCAGAAAAGATGTGCATCTATGTTCACATGTGAAAATATCTTTCTGTGTGTTTGGTTTGATTTTATAAATATTACAACACAAACTGCACGTGTCACATTTCTTTGATGCATCACAACTTTATTTCTCTCAGAAATCAGATGCTACATAGATTCCTGCAGCTTTGGTTTTATCATCGTCATCATTAGTCGGATTATTATTTAGTAGATTGTGGAACTCTTAAAGGATCATCTGATCTCATCCTGTATTATTACGACCATGACCATCAGCAACAGTGTGATAAACTTTATACTCGTA